CGACTGCCGCCTGTCCACGGTAACACGATTTCTTAGGCTGTTTCAGATGGCGTTTGCTGAGGGTGACGACTAGTTAAAATAATAGTTTAAAGTGATTCCATATATACACAAACGGAATCTTCCTAAGGGAAAGTATTTGAATAGCCAAATGCCCAGTGCTACCTCTCCACGTATCATGTGTCTATATATGTTTACGTCTAATATATCTATATACCATGTGTCTGTGTAGCACGTATCTAGCCACTCATTATTTATTTGCCTATATCCATCATCTGCCTTGACCCATTATTTAAAAAAAAATAACTTTGCCTGTGTCACTTGAAGATTTAAGCTTCAATTCTTTTAAAATCCCTTAAATCATTTACAAGGTTGGGTATGTCATTCAACATCTCTAAGGGTTTTTTTGTTCATATTTTATTAAGGAACTGTTTCTCCCAAAGTAATCCTTCTTCCTGATATTTCTAATATTGCCATGTCAAATCAACCTGAGGTTTACAGATGATTCTTTTTTCAGTAACCATACTCATTGCAAGAAGATTTTATGCACTTAACACGAAGAGAACAGCCGATGCTTCAGAGACGTTTCCTGGAGCTGTGGTAGTGAGGGATGAACCCTTGAATAGTCACAGCTTGTCAGGGGACGGTGCTCTCACTCGAGTACCTCACGTTGCCTCCCAGCACAGATCATTGGCAGGGGCTGCTCCTGCATGGACATTTGCATATGGGACATATCATCTTCTTCCTTTAGCAGAGCCTGAACTAGGACAAATACACCATCACACTCAGAATAACACCTTCAGATAATATGAGTTTAACCTGTGAAAAATGTATACCAGGTTTTAATTTTCACTTAGGAATTTCTCTTCCTTCACCATTGTTGTATCTTGAAATTTTTCCAGCTTACAAAAAAATTGCAAGAATGATACAGTGAATATTTGTATATCCATCATCTCAGTTCATCAATTAAGATTTTGCCACATTTGCTTATCTCTCTATGTATCTGTGTATGCACACATGTTTATGAACATATACATAGCATATGCATGTGTGTACATACACCTATATAATGTATATGTAAGTACATATATAATTAATATATATACAGATATTTTCTAAATGAACCATTTGTGTGTAAACCGTGGACCTCATCATTCTTCACCAGCTCTAGGAATAGGATGAGGTGAGTGAGGCAGAAAATTTAAAGGGGCACGGAAAAACTCATTCGTCAAGGTAAATATTTTAGTGCAATATTTTAAAATTCAATGTTAAGTAAAAAAGCCCATGATGACTATAACATCAAAAATTTTAAAGACAAGCTGTTGTTTGTTTTATGACCCTGCATAATTGTGCAGTGGGAATGGTGTTTCCAATCAGCCTGAGGTTCTGGGACATGTGGTTGTTGGCTTTTTGAGGAACGACAATGGCATGCGAACAGATTGGGCAATGTAGGCTTTATATATACTCATGTGTTTTGACTGTAGAGCTTGCGTTAACTTTCTGATGCAAAATGTGTACATAGGGCCGCACATTTCTCCCTTTGCATCATGCTCCCACATGGCTTTACACTAAACACTGGAGCGTGCATCTCCCAAGAACACAGAGATTCTTCTACATAACTTGGTGCAGTGACCATGTGCAGGAAATTTAACATTGATGTACTATGATTATCTGATACATGTCCATATTTAAGTTTCCATGATTGTGGCACTGATTTTTTTATGCTTTGTCCCCTAGCATACCCCTCTAAATCAGGATCCAGTCAAAGATCATTTAGTTATCAAGTCTCTTTATTCTCCTTTAATCTAGAAAGCCTCCCTCTCTTTTGTCCTTCAGGCCATTGACATTTTTGAAGAGCCCAGCCCCACTATTATATAGACTATCTCTCAGTTTTGAAGTGCCTGTTTCCTCATGAATACTGCATCATGCCAGATTTTAAAAAACACATTCTTGTGCGAGTGTTATTGTACAACTTGATGGGGTAGGAATGAGTGACTGCTTCCTAAAGTAGCAACATCAGGTATCTCAGCGTGCAGAGCCAGTTATGTGAGAACAACTGAAACAGATAGGATTTTTGCAGGAAAAGTAGATCATTCCAAATGATCAGAGGAGTTATATTTCTTTTAGGTTTTAAAGATTTTGTGATAGAAAAATTGCTGACTGGAATGACAAGAGGTTTCAGCTCCTGGGCCAACTTTGACTGATTGGAGGTGACATACAAGGCCCCCCAAGGTCTTGAGAGGAAAGAGTCACCATGAATGATGTCTGCTGTGGACAGCTAATGAGGGGTGGGGCAGAGGCTGTGGCTAGTGTTAGGTCTGCATTTGATAAGAAATGATTTTGGCCTTACTGCTGCTGTAGGCCATAATTCCTACCTAACCTGGGCTAAGTTTCCTGAACATGCAGACATACAGCTTCTAGGACTGACTAGAACTTGGTGGGATTGTTCTCCTCTTGTGGCTCATTGTAAGTCCAAACTATTTTCCTATAAATCACAACTCATATACATGTAATTCTGCTTTATCCTTGGTCATCCTTAAAAGTACATGAGCTTCTCTTGTAATGGTTTTCTAATTCCCAACTAGAACTGTTGTTAAATGGTTAAAAAATTAGTTCCCATCCTCCAATATTCACAAGTGTTGATCAACATTATAAATATAATGAGAATTTAAAGCTGATTAATTCCCTCCCAGGTACTAAGGCAACAACCTGGAAATCTTTATGGTTATTTTGGACAATAAACTTAAATTTGAATGTGGAATAACCTTATCTTCTTGGAATTTAATTAGAGGTAAATAAAGAAACTGTACTGTGAAGATTTTACTCAGAAAGAAGGGCAGTGGTATCCATCTTCTCCATCGTGCTCCTCTGTTAACTCCTTGTCATCCAGTCTAGTTGGGAGTAAATTTCTCCTCCTTTGTCAAATGCATGTTTTATTGCCCTTCAAATCTGTCTCGTTGGAGTAGTGAACCATGTATATGCTCATGGCCTTCTTAGTTAATTCTGCAAATAGAGTTGAAGGGCAATTTGACAGTATAGCTTATATATAAAAATAGGGACTTCAGTATTTTTGTAGTTGTAAAAGAAATGGTAACATTCTGCCCCCATCCTAGGGAAATGATGAAATACTTTGGGCACAATATGGGATAATTGCAGTAGTGACTAAAGGAAGGGATATAGCTCTATATGCTGAAATGGAAAGAGCACCAAGACAAAATAAGTATAAAAAGCACAGAACAATATGATAATATAATTACAATTATGTGCAAAATGTAAGGGGATAAATGTGTGTGTGTGTATATATATGTATACACAGAAACGCATTATAAAATAATGACCCTCCTCAAACTGTTAACAGTGGCTACCATGTCTTTCAGCTGAGGATCCATAAGTCTGAAACAGTGAGGCTGCATCTTGGGCATTAAAAAAAATCTGCAGTCATTTCACAGCCAGACTCCGCTTGAGACTCACTCAGTGTTCCGTAATGGGGAAGCCAAACTCCCACGTGGAAGAGAGGAGTAGCTGGAGTCTAGGGGTGGCCATCAGCCTGAACCAGCACCCAAAGGTGCAGGGAAACAGTGCATCTGCAAAGACAGAAGTACAAAAGCCAAATATTTTGTAAAGGCAAAACTTTCACAAAGTAAAACTTTATAATTAACAATTAAAGATAGCAGGCTTCTTTCTTGTCCCCATGCCAGCCAGCGGTCCACTTCCCAGTAGTAACCATTAATTATTTACTTAGAAGTTAATGTATAATGTGTGGAGGAAGGGTGATGTTGGGTATGTAATGAAATCCTCGCAGTTGGAAGGAAGAAAATAAAAGTTCTTTCTAGGCTTGCATGTTTGTAACATATAGACACATTTTCCCATAAGAAACTCCCAGAAAAATTGAAACCACATGTGCAGATGGCCAGGGCGTGCAGGGCATGTTGCTGTGCAAGCAGTTCAGCAGGGCTGCAGCAGCACTAGCTTCGTCTGCTCTTGGGTTCTGGGGCTTGTCTCAACAGGAAGCCCCCAAATAACGAAAGGATCCCAGCAGAGGAACAAGGCTGCAGCAAGAAACAAGGTTTCCCTCACCCCCACCCTGTTCCTTCGTTCTCCAAAAGTTACAAAGTGTGAGTTTCCTTCCTGATAACCCCAAGCCTTCCTCACCGATTGGTCTCAGTTTTGGAGAGGACGTGACATCAGCAGCTTTGTGGAGTTGGGGCTGGGGGGGCTGTCGTGGGCTTTGGCCATAGTCCAACCAGCTAGGTGGCGCACATGTGTGTGTGTGTGTGTGTGTGTGTGTGTCTGTGTGAGAGAGAGAGAGAAAGAGAGAGAAAGAGAGGGAGAGGGAGAGGGAGAGGGAGAGGGAGAGAGGGAGGGAGAGAGGGAGAGGGGGAAAGAGAAAGAAAGAAGAAAGAGAAAGAGGGAGAGAGAAAGAAAAAAGAGAAAGAGAGAACGACCACAGGTAGTACTCAGATTACTCTGCCTGTTCTGTTCTCTGTTGCAGACGGCTGTTCCTACCATCTGACCAGGACGGTGCAGCTCTGCCAGCCACAGCACTGGAATTTCCCAGGAGCAGGGGAGCATGGAATTTGCACTTTTCTGAGCAACTGAAGTGGAACAGGGAGCTTGTCTGTCCCAGGAGAGCACCATGGATGGCAAACCACCAGACAGGACTGGCAGCAAGCCCTCGAGGCCAGAAGACCCTTCTGCCACCAGGCTTCTTTCAAATCCACTGATGGGGGGTGAGTCAAGGGGCTGTGGAATCAGAGTGCTGGGGAGGATGGTTAATAGAGAGAGAGAGAAGAGGACTGGGCAATTTCAGTGGCTCTGTATAAGATATGTCCATGGGGTAGTTTGGCTTGCTAGGATATATCCTTTTTACAGTTGTTCAAAAATGTGTTCACCACTATCTGCAGAGTCCTATAGACCACACAAAGCTGTCAGAGTTCATTCTCTAGTAAAAACTTTAGCTCCAAAGGTCAAATGTATCACATTACATTGGAGGTTTAAAAGTTACTTATAGGAATATTTTTACTGCCAAAACATTTATTAAGAAGTTTTAGATATTTGGCATTGATGTGAAGCTGGGTTTATAAAGGATGTTCAAACATTGAGCACTGAAGTGATTGATTTACTTTAAGAGGAACTTTATTTTGTAAAACTTTGGAGATGAGCCTTACAGGTATGACTCTCCCCTGTCAGGTGGTGTCTTTGCTAGTGTATAGACTCTCACACCTCCAGGAAACTGTCATTTTCTGTGAGAATTCAGCAGGTTCCTGCTAACTGAAAGTATTCTGATTATTCTGTCCAGTGCCCTGCTAGGCTGCCCATAACACTTGCGATCAATAAGCAGAGACCCTTCAGTCAGCTAGGACTTATTAATTTCCTACTATACAAGTGCCGAAAGGGAAAAAGCCAGAAAGAATAAAATACAAAATTCCTTTCCTTTGACGAATTGAACAGATAAGACTGCTCATTTATTCATTCATTTATCCCATTTTGCTTATAAAATGAGCAGAGCACTCAACAGTGAGAGATTTGGATTCGCAAAGGCAGAACTGGATTAGTCAGATGGATTGAGCATAGAACTGGAGCAGTAGAAAGCAGAGTGGCACCGAAAATCACTTTTAAAAATGAATTGATAGATATGTATTAGAAACAGCAAACCAATCAATATGGGAAAGAATCAACAATTTAATGGTGACTTCCACACGTTTATTTTACAGCTAAATATTATGTTTATTCTCATATGAGACAGAGGTGCCAGCTACTTTTCACTGTTGAGGGTTTCTAAAGGTCCTAATTCAACCCTGGTTGGGGCTGGATGAGTGGGTGGGGATGGGCAGATGTAACTATACTCCAAGATATGGTACTTAAAAAGTGAACACACTGTCACAACTAGAATGCAGAATGTCTTAGGGAATCTAGTGAGATCAAGTTTGGAAAGATGAAGCTCGATAATGAAGCTTCAAAAGCTAGGTGGCAGAGTTTAGCTTATGAGGCAGGGAATTGGGAACCATCAATGATTCTGGAGCAGAGACCTGGCAATAATGAAGATTGCAGTAAATTAAACTGGTAGCCACAATCAGGATGGATTGTGGTGGGATCACCGGAAATTCTTGCACTAACCCATAGGTTCTCAAACTCTTGTATGCACCAGCATCACCTGGAGGGTCTGATAAAATGCAGATGACTGGGCCCCACCCCCAGAGGTTCTGATGCAGTGAGAGGTCTGGGATGAGGCTGGGAATCTACATTTATTAAAGCTCCCAGGTGATGCTGATGGTGTCAGTTGGGGACCACACTTTGAGAACCACTGCACTAGTCCAAGCATGATCCTTATATTTGGATCAAACTTGGAAATGACAGAGAAAGGAAAAATATGAGTGATAATTTTAAAAGAAAGAGAAATTAGAATATGTTTCTTGATTAAATATTGAGGCTAAAGGAGAGAAAGCAGCCCTAATTGTAAAGTTTTCAAGCTTAAATTAATGTCAGGTAAAAGGGCTAGACAAAAAAGTTGGGAAGGGGAACTGCTTGGTAGCAGAGTGAGGAAGGGAGGATAAGGGGTTCTGTTTTGAACATAAATTGCCAATGGCCAATGCACAGCCTGATGACGCTGGACTGAGGCTGGGGAATGAATACAGGTCAGGAGTCAAAGATCTCTGAATCAGATAGGATAGGAATGACCCAACCTATCACGACCCAAAGACTGGAGGCAAATGCTTCTGCCCTCTCAGAGCAACCCATCTTCTCTTTATTGCCCCTTGACCTTGCAAATGTTTCCCAGGATGGACAGATTTATGCTACTGCCCGGCATTCACTGGGGGCCCTCAGAGCTTTGTTAATAGCTCTTTTTAGAATGTATCAATTAGTGCATTTTCAGTCTCTTCTGAAATAATGGAAATTTTAAAAATAATTTCACAAATTGCAATAAAAATGAAATGGCAGCTTTTCTAATGTGCTGCAGGGTTTGATGGAGACTCAATTGAAAAGAAAGGTAAGTTTAATGTCACTAATTGGAGCACTTATGGAGTGGTTTCGTTAGGAGCACTTCCTGCCCCATTTAACCATGAGCTACTGGATCTATGGCATAGCCATTGACCTCATTTAGTATCTATTTTTTGGCAATAAAACCAATAGACCCTGGCTGAACAAGCGCTGGGGAAGACTCTTTAACATGTATCAAAGGCTTGGATAATGTACTCTATACAGATAATGGCCCTTGCTTTTCAGTGAGTTTGGGGTCAGTGGAAAGGGCTTGTGACCTTGAATCTCCCCTTCATCCATAGTCTCCTACTGTGAGCATTGTCCATGTTCTGGTAGGAAAACGTCCCCTTTCCCATTGATTTTGCTCTTTCCAGTTATCGGCAGGAAGGCAGGCAAAGCTGCTTCTGGGTTTAATTCACATGTGTTGAGCCCATAGCTCATTGCCTGCTTGGGGTGTGGACTCTGGAAAACCCTGGAGAAACATCTCCCGGATATCTCTTCAGAGTTTTCAAGAGCTAAAGAAAGTATATGTGGACTAATCCATTTTGCAAATTATGGCATTTGCTAAACGGTACGTGTATATATACACATGTATATACTTATATACATACACACACATATACACACACACATAATTTGTGGTCTCAATCCTAGAAAAAGATCAACCTTTCATTGTCACAATTTAAAATTTTTATATAATCACTCAATTGTTAAGAGACCCCCTGAGGCTAAAGTCCTTATATACATTTGAGATAAATTTTGGCTCTATAAGGACCCAGGCTTTTCTGGGCAGGAGTATAGGCATACTGATAGCCTTACCAAGCTCTAGGTGGAAATTACTTTAAATTATAAAGAGAAGTCTCATATACTGCTAATAGGACTATAAAGTGGTACAGTTGCAGTTCCACAAAGGGCTCAACATTGCGTTATCGTATAATATAGGCAGTTCTACTTCTAGGTGTATGTTTATCCAAGAGAATTGAAAACATACATCCACTGAAACATTTGTACATGAATGTTCATAGCAGCATTATTCATAATAGCTCAGAAGTGGAAGCAATACAAATGTCCATGGACTAATGAATTAATAAATAAAATGTGGTTTATCTATATAGTGGATATTATTTGACCATAAAAGGGATGAAGTACTGATACATACTACAATGTGGATGAACCTTGAAACATTATGCTCAGTGAAAGAAGCCAGTCACAAAAGACCACATATTATATGATTATGTTTATATGAAATGTCTAGAATAAGCAAATCCATAGAGACAGAAAATAGACCAAGGTTTTCCAGGGGTTGGGGAATGTAGAAATGGGGAGTGACTGCTAATGGGCAAGGGGTTTCTTTGGGGGATGATAAAAATGTTCTAAAATGGGCTGTGGTGATGGTTACACTACTCTGAATATACTGGAAACCATTGAATTATAGATTTTAATGAGTGAATTGTACAGTATGTGAATTAGAAATCATCAAATCTTTTAGATAGCTAGATATCATTAACCCCTTACCACGTGTATCAGGGCAATACCCTGTTTCTCTTGAAGACGCAGGCGCCTCTGCTCTGTAAATGCTACAGTCTAAAGCAGGGATACAGTATCTCAGGTAGCCCTTTTTCTCTTAGAGAAATACATAATTCTTTACCCTAAATAGAAGGAGTAATGGTTCCATGATGAATGAATAGAAAGTAAAGCTCATTTTTGTCTACACTTGATAATGTAATTTCATTGTTTTAATGAAATCTGAACAGACTTACCATTTAGGACCCAAGTTACCTGCCTGGACTGTTTGGGCTGTCACCTCTAATTATCTGAGGTAGTCTTAAGAAAGGTTGAGAAGTGTGGCAGCTGAGCACTTGGGAGGAAAATCAGATTAACCATCATGCACAGTGACCCATTAGGGTCCATTTGCAAATCTATTTACGACTGATTTTCAAAACCTTTTTTGGTTTTTGTCTCTTCTCACCCAAGATTTTGTGTGGGTGGTATTTTGCATTAGCACCAACAGGGCAGAATTAGTTGTCCTTTTAATTCTCATTGGGAGAGAAATTTTCCTGTATTACAGTCTAGATTGTAGGCTCCAAGCGCTAGAAGCAGCAATATTTGTCCTGAGAGTAAGAACCTCAGAAAATGCTTTGAAGGCACCGACTTTCTACTGAGCATAAGGTTTTGGAGGTAGGAAAAGCTGCTTCACTTAAGGGGCCTCAAGCACAGTAGTGAGCTCAGAAGAAAAGCATTGGATGGGCAGTGTGTAGGTGTTCTCATTCAGCTTCCCCTTACCTATTACATGCTCCATGAATCCATCTGGAAAGACGGTAATTTGCTCACTGGGACAGATTTTCTGGGACATTGGTAGCTCCATGGAGCAGGCAGACAGCTAACGTGTTAAATATAAGGCATTTTTGCCTCCTCTCATGGCCTTTCAACTTGCAAGGCATCAGTAACTACCCTGGTTCCCCAGGTCTTCTGAGCTTATGGGAGATAGTGGTTCCTTTACAAGATGTGACTGGCATTAGACCACTCTGCCTTGTCTGTGTGTAGTAGTGGGCAGAGCTGGACTGCAGCAAGCTCAGTCGAGCCTTCTCACATTCTCACTTCCTGCATTTGTTCTGGAAATAAGTTGCAGTTTAAGATAAGAAAAAGTCAGGTCTATGCCTCATTCAGATTAAATCCACACTCAATTAGAAAGAGAGGGGAAAGCATTTAATGTGTGGGGATAGGGCTTACAGGCTTCCTCCCAAAGAATGTGTGTTCCTTCCAAATGGTTGTGGAACAAATGTGCTATTTTAAATAGCAGTGGTTATGGGGTGTAATCAAGACTCTGTTTAGTGTTAGGGCAGGATAATAATAGTATCTGATAGGTATTGAGCCATGAGTAAGTATATTGCTCTCCTCACTTTACGGAAAAGGAAACTGAAGCTTAGGGCCTGTCCAGGGAGGGACCCACGGCTCAGAAGAAACCAAGCGGGTCTGAATTCAGAGCTTTCTCTTAACCACATTGGCACACTGCCTTTGGGGATAAATAATGTCCCTGTTACAAGGTCAGACTGAGCTCTGATTTGCACTTGATACTGGGACAGGAGGTATAGATTTAGATTTAGATTTGATTCCGTACCTAATGGTGTGTGTAATTACCTGATTACTACTATTAGTATGTTGCACCCTTGCTGAGATGCCAAAGTTTGTATTTCACGCAGGAAACTAGACTGGCAGCCGCAGCTTAACACATTAATGCTGGTAATTAGTGAAGCTCTAACTTAACTAAATGGACCATTTGCCTTTGAAATGAATGTGTAAATGGAAATACAGTAATCCATCTGTCATACCAATCTACCTCTTTTGTCCTTAGTTTGGACATTGGATATAGTTCTTTAGCTACCTAGACATTTCTAATAAACTGTAAAAAAAAACACATCAATAGGGAGAGAAATGCTGAAAGGAGTTTTGGTTGATTGGCTCCAACCAATAATGCCCATTAGGCTCTTACTGACAGCCAAGGATGAGCCTCTGGGTCTAAAGTACATTCGCTGGATGTAACCTGTTCCTCCCTTTCCATACAGATGTTGTGTCTGATTGGTCTCCAGTGCATGAAGCTGCGATCCATGGGCGTATACTCTCTTTGAGGAATCTCATCAGCCAGGTAGGCAGCTTTTTTTTTTTGGTGGGGGGGGGAAGCACATCCTATTGCTCACTACACTGAGGAAAAAAATCATAGTCTGAAATTAAGATATAAATTCCTCTTCAGCAAAGTGAGATGAATCCTACCCTATCCAACCATTTTTTAAATTTGTAGGCTGGCATAAAACTAGAATTTAGTGTAATTCTATGCACATAGTAGGTACTATAATACATATTTATTAAATGAATAAAGGGAAAATTAGTTTATTTAAGTCGCCTTTACTTTATTCAATAGACTATGTTCTTTACAATTATCATGTAATTTTTGTTCTCAACTGTGGTGACTTTGCCCCTTAGGGGACATTTGACAATGTCTGGAGACTTTTTTGGTGGTCACAACTCTGGGAGTGGGAGTGGGAGTGGGAGGGTGATACTGGCATCTAGTAGAGAGAGACCAGAGATGCCACTAAACATCCTACATTGCATTGGGCAATCCTGCACATGGAAAAATTATCCGGTCCAAAATGTTGGTAGTGCTGGGGTTATAAACCCCTGATATGAAACAGTCCTTGAAAATGTCTTTTTAAATTTGTAATCTTATGATTTCCAAGTTATTTTCAGTTCTATTGAATGTCCCGTTGATAGTGGCCCTACCCAGCTTGATATTAATTTCCCTGCAGTTTAAATCACCATTCAAAATTCTAAAAAATGTTTTTGTTCAGGATGTTCTGTTCTCTGAAAAGACAGTAGATCTTTTAAGTTAGGAGCTCTTGACCTTTTCTGACCACAGTCCCCTTTGGCAGTCTGGCAGAGTCTATAGACCCCTTCTCAGATTAATGTTTTAAATACATAAGACACAATACAGAGGAAAGCTATCAAGATATTAAATGACAAATGTGTGACATAGTACTATATGGACTTCTTTATTAATGCGTCAGATAAGATTTAGTGGTGATTCTAATGACTACTATAATTTCTAAGTAGAATGAACATATATTTTGGATATTTTAAATACCTGTAACGATTGTAATGTAATAAAAATATCTGTGATTCTTCTCCATAATAGTCCCATAAACTGCTATTACTACCATGGTTTGCTGTTCGCATCCATAATTGAATAAATAATTGAAGGATATGATACATTTCAGGTAGTGGTTAGTGAAAATAAATGTGCTTTCAAAACAAATTCCAATTTCATGGATCTTTCTAGAATAAGTAACTTTCCTATTAGAAAACCATTTCTAAAGAAAAATTTCAGGCAACCCTAAGCCCCTAATCTTAAGCTGTTTTTGATAGCAACAGCTTATTATAAGTAGAAATATAGATAGTAACTCTAGCTAAAAGAAGTTAAGCTACTTCTTGGATAAAATGAAACATTTACCTTATTTTAATAGGGCAAAAAAATGATCATTGCAGCTTTTATATGTCACTTATTAAATTGGACTCATTTATATTCAGTATTTATGTTTACTGAACATCAGCTGGAACCATGCCTTTATCTAAGCTCTATCTCATTATTTGAGCAAGTTATCATCTTAAAACATTAATTTCTCTCTGTATAAAATGAGCATTCCAATACCCACCTGCATTAGTCAGATGTTTCTGTGTAACAAACCTCCCCAAACTCAGTGGCATAATGCAATAAATATTTCTTGCTAACAAGTCTTTACATCAGCCGATGTAGGCTGGGCTTGGCTTCAAGCTGTGGGGTAGGTGCAGCTCTACTGCACATATCTCCCACCCTTCTTTGACCATTGGCTACACAAGAAAATTTCTTCTCATGGCAAGAGCCTGGAGCATAGCAGGGCAAGCCCAACCATGCAAAAATACATGCAGGAATAGTTCCTTGCCATGACCTCATCAAAACAATAAGCCAACAAGTGAGAGGACAAGAAAGAGTAAGAGCAAAATGAAAGTCAGTCTTGAGTGTATGTACCTAAGATTCAAATTGCTGGATCATAGGTATGTACATCAACTCTAATAGATACTGTCACACTGTTTTCCTGAGTGGTTGTATCATGTTACACTCCCACCAGCAGTATGAAAGATCTTTTTTGTTGTTGTTTTTCTGCATCATTGTCAATGCCTTAGTGTACTGTCAGATTTTAAGCCAGGTAGACTTTTAAAAGAATTGTCATAGTGCAGGATTTGTGGCTGAAAACCAACCCTAACAGAACTGATGCTTTGCATCCCTACTCTGTCCATTTTCCTTCCTCCAGGGTTGGGCTGTAAACATCATTACAACAGATTGTGTGTCCCCACTCCATGAAGCTTGTCTTGGAGGTCATCCTGCTTGTGCATCCATTTTATTAAAGCATGGAGCTCAGGTAAGTACTGCTCAAATAACATCTTAGAAATCATGAATGAAAAATGACTATTTCTGTCCCTTCAGAATAATTTCCAGCATTTTTGATTAGCCTGATTTGAAATTTGAAGAGGGGTGTTTTTCAAAAGTATTATGCCCATCAAGCTTGTCTGCTTTAGCAATAGATGAAATACTGAGTTTTCAGCTAGAAAGTAATGGTTCCTATGTATGTCATTTTCTTTGATAGTCACTACTAATAAATAGCTGTTAGATTTCTGTCTTCATTCTGATGGCTTGAAGGCAGTGAAATATTGTAGAAAACATATAACATTTGGCTCCAGATCTGAATAGTCATCCCAGGCCACCTCGATCATTTACTACCATTGGAAACTTGAACAAGTTACTTATCGTTTGAGCTTTAGAGTCTACATCTAAAAATTGGAAGAAATAAAAAGTTGGGTAACTTATTGTGGTATTGCAAGGATTGAAGGAGATACAGTATATGATTATTATTTGGAGAACGAGAATCAGGATAGCATAATGCGAGACCCTAGAAGAAGGACACAAAGCCATTGAATTTGAGGGTAGGGACCAGCAAGTCCTCCATTAACTAAGTCTCCTCATGCTCAAAAGTGGTGGGAAATTCTGATCTGAAAATTGTATATGAGTTTCTCATATTCTCTCAACCAGTATTTATTGAGCATTTATTATATGCCTAACTCTGGCCAAGATTTTTAGGAACTTATAAACTAACTGAGGAGACAGCCAGATAAACAGGTGTTGTAGTGACTGTAACACTAGCTGCTTCAATAGGTGAACCCTGAAATCTCAGTAGCCCTACACAATGAAAGTTTATTTCTTTTCTTTTTTTAAAATATATATCTTTATTGATTTCAGAGAGAGGAAAGGAGAGGGAGAGAGAGAGAGATAGAAACATCAATGATGAGAGAGTCATTGATCGGCTGCAGCCCGCAACCCGGGCATGTGCCCTGACCGGGAATCGAACCCTGATCGCCTGGATCCTAGGTCAACACTTAACCGCTGAGCCACGGCCTGGCGAAAGTTTATTTCTTGTTAACTGGAATTGCAGTGTGGATGTTGCCAGTTAGGTTGCTCTTTCCCAACGGTTGTTCAGGAATATAGGCTTCTTCCATCCCTCTGCACTATTTTCAACAAGTAGCTTCCATGTGTGCTCTTGGGGTAGTTTCTATTCCACATGGTTGTAAGGGAAAAATACATGGAGGACTGTGCATGGACAACTTTTAAGGACCAGTCTAGGTAGTGACATAGATCACTTTTGCCCCCATCCATTGGCCAGAACTCAGCCCATATCTCACTGCCAGGGAGGCTGGGAGATGGAGTATGGTTGTGTTCCCAAGAGAGAGGAAATAGGTTTGTTGAATGCATAGCATCTCAGCCACAGAAGGCATTTACAATACAGTTTTTACCCATTAGGTTTTTTGTTTGTTTGTTTTAAATATGTCTTTATTGATTTTAGAGAGACGAAGGGAGAGGGGGAGAGAGAGATAGAAACATAAATGATGAGAGAGTCATTGATTGGCAGCCACCTGCACGCCCCCTGCCGGGGATCGAGCCCGCAACCCAGGCATGTGCCCTGACTGGGAATCAAACTGCGATCTCCTAGATCCTAGGTCGATGTTCAATGACTGAGCTACGCCAGCCAGGCACCCATTAGTTTTTGTTATGTAGCAAGTCACCCCAACTTAATGGCTTAAGACAACAATCATTTATTTATCTCACAATTCCTTGTGTTGGCTGGTTCAGCTCTTTTGGTCTGAGCTGGTTCAGCTGACCTCAGCTGGGCTTATGCATTTGAGATTAGCTGATAGATTGGCTGGAGCAGCCTGGTTCATGATGACCTTGACTGGGTCAGCTGAGTCTGGGGAGCCAGAAAAATCTCTATGTGGTCTCTCATCCTTTAGCAGGCTGCCTGGATTTGTTTACATGATAGCAGGGATTCCAAGAGAAACAAAAGAGGGCAAGCTCTCTGCTTGTAACACATTTGTTACTGCCCCATCAGCCAAAGCAAGTCACATGGGCAAGCCCAGATTCAAGGACTGGAAAAAATAGTCTCCATCTTATGAAGACTTGCAAAGCTACATTGCATACCGTGCAGAGAATCTGTGGCCATTTTTGCAAACTACTACAATATATTGTTAATGGTAAGGGGTTGTTGGGAGCACATACATTTATTTCTGGTAGGGAGAGAGTCAAAACAGGCTTCCTGTAGGAAATGATGTCTAAGCTGAAACCTCAAGGACCTATTGGAGTCATTCAGCTAAATGCTGGGATGGGGGAAATTATGGGCTTCCTTCCCACTGTTCTCATTCTTTATAGCAGGAGAGTAGAGTGGGTGAGATGGGTCAGAATACAAACACCCTTGTCCATGCCAAGAAAATTAACTTTGTCCTGACAGCATTAGGGGGCTATAGAAGAGTGCATCATCAGGCTTATATTTTGGTTAAGAAAAAGTACCCTGAACTTGGAAACAGGGCCAAGACTAAGGAAAGGCAAGAGAGGTGCCTAGAATGCAGACTTTAAAGAGCTGCTCACTCTCAGATGCATGCAGATCTTTCGTGACCCCGGGAGTGTGTCTCCTTAAATTTTGCACCCCTGGATATCATTTGTGCCGCACTAGTCCTGGCCTTGCCTCAAAATGTTTAATAGTTCACCAAAAAATTTCTTAACAATATAGAAAAATGCATCTGCATTTGGCTTTGCTCTTTCCTATTCAATTGTAGCCTTAACCCTGTGAAGTTAGATGCTAATTTGTAAATTTCTGTCTGATTTCTAACATTAGAGAAGATAGTCCCAAAGATTATAGTTTTAGGGCCCAGTAGGGCATTAATCAGTTTTGTCTCTAGCAAATTTATTTCAGCATTCCACTGACTGACTATATAAATTCTCCTTTCAGCCAGCCTTACCGTCTTGCTAGTTCCCTCATTAATTAATGAATTGAAAAAAAATCTTTGGCATGTGTTCACTCTATATTTGTATGAAAGTCATGTTTTAAAATTTTTAAAAATGATATGTTAGCAATTTTAGAAGGTTACTTTGGCTGCTGTGAAGAAACTGGATTGGTGTGGTATGGGTCCAGAATGGAATGTCTAAAATAAATAGATTACTTTGTAAGGTATTGAAATTATCCTAACTGGTTTCAAAGTTTGTGTTCCTGGGGAGGGTATGAAGGAGATAGAACATTCTGTAACATTCTTGGTGCCTTACATTCCATGCCTCATTCAGTTTTTCACAACCTCGTGGAATTTCATATTTTTGTCTCCATTTTGTGGCTGCGGAATTTAAGGCTCTGAGAAATTAAATACCGGCTTGGAAGTGATGGAGCTAGATTTGAATGCAGGACACCCCACTGCTTGTCTTCATCGTGGAGCTTTTCATTCCAGGTGAATGGCGTTACCACAGACTGGCAAACTCCCTTGTTTAATGCTTGTATCAGTGGCAGCCAGGACTGTGTGAATTTGCTTCTGCAGCATGGAGCCAGCCCCCACCCTGTGTGTGATCTAGCATCTCCCATCCATGAAGCTGCTAAGAGAGGTAAAGTTGAGAATTTGTTTTTCAACCAGACCTTTAAGGGACCTCACTGTTGAAAGAAAGAAGGAAGAGGAGGTCTATTTTAGAGCAGTAGTTCTCAAGGTGGGGTACCGGGACCAGGAACATCAGTGTGACCTAGCACACAAATGCAGATTCTTGGGCCTCCAGACCCATTGAACCAGCAACTCTGGGGGTGGGGTCCAGCCATCTGTGTTTTCTTTAACAAGCCCCCTGCTCAGTGATTCTGATGAACAGGAATTTTGAGAACTACCTTTTTAGAGCATTCCAAGTGTTGCTCCAGGACAATTGAAAAAGGTGGATGGTTGCTGGTTGCTTAATGTGGCTAGTAAACTCAAGTGCAGTTCTACCCAGAGCCGCAGATCACATCTATGGTCAACCCATTAACTGATGGCAGTGTTTGAAATCATTCCCTATTCTAAGCAAAGGAAATAGCTTTTGGTCCCCTGGATAAGTTGCTAGCAGATTTGAAAATATGGTTACCAGATGGAAGGGGGGGAAGGTAGCAAAGGGGGCCAAATATATGGTGATGGAAGGAGACTAGACTTTGGGTGGTGGGCATACAATGCAATGTACGGATGATGTATCAGAAATGTACACTTGAAACCTATATAATCTTATTAACCAATGTCACCCCAATACATTTAATTAAAATATTAAAAAAATAAAAACATTAAAAAATGGGGAAGGTGTTTCCATAGCTAAGAGAACTTGTTGTGTAACTGTTTTCTCCTATTTTGGGCTGCAGGCCATGTGGAGTGCATTGAGTCCCTTGCAGCTCATGGGGGTGACATTGACCATCACATCAGCCACCTGGGCACTCCACTCTATTTGGCTTGTGAAAACCAGCAGATAGCCTGTGCCAAGAAGCTTCTTGAGTCAGGTAAAACAAAAAGCAAAATGAAACAAGGAAAGCTAATGAAAAGTAAATTAAATGTATTTTAAAGCTCTATCTGTTGTAGCAGAGGAAAGAGTGTGGGCAGTGGAGTTGGCCAAGGTTGGAATTCATATTGACTGTGTTACCATAGGAATTATTTGAAACTGTTAGAACTTTCACTCTCTCGTAATCAGTATAATGATGACGATGATGATGTTAATGGTAATGGTAATATGTTCTCTCTGAGTGGTCCTCAGTGATGAATACTTTCTCCTCCCTTTTCTCTGTCTCGTCCTCCAGCCAGTCATATTATTTGGCCCTGCACAACTCCTAAAGCTGATAGATTAAGGCTGAGTCTTCTTATTTGGGGCCTTCTTCACTACTCTTCAATTTGGAAATTGAACTTGCCCCATTTTTAGCCCATTGTAAATATTATGTTATCTTTGAAAAGGCCTATGTGGCATCATTCTTTTTCACCTCCCTGCTATTGTTCGTTCCCTTCTTCAACATTTGGAACACCATTTCTTCCCTTCTTTAATTATTTGAGTCCTGTTTATTCTTTAAAACTCCAGTAATCTTTCCTCCCCTGAATGTTTTTATAGTTTTTATTGCCTTCTACTCATCTGGTAGTCATTTCCATGGATCAGGAGATTCGTATTTATTCATTCATATT